CTTTCTGTAAATTTGCACACCAATAAAATATGTATAAAAACAAGGAAAATACTTTTCTCAAATTGGTTAAAATGCACTCAATGGCTTTTGCATGTTTACTCTTTTTATTAATAACTGAAAAATGTTATACGATGCAAATTAATAAACTTACAAGCCATCCTAAGCAATCTGATAGTTTCTTGTGAGGGAAGTTGGAGCAGGGGGAGAAAAAAGTGTTTTGTTTAAATAAGTAAATTACCACTAGGTTTATTATAATCATATATTTTTCAAATAACTTACAATAAATTCCACTTGAATTTAAATTTCACATATATATAGAATTTTTCACATGAAAGATGTGTCAATAATCTCTTGGTAAGATTCATTCATCTAAAAATTTATTGACACAAAATATTCAAAATGATAACTGCAAATATTTTTAGAAGTAAAAATAGAAGACATTAACAAATCATTCTGGATAGCTTTTGTAAGAGGTAGATACACACTTAGCTCAATTCACATGTTTACTTTCTATAGAGTAACAAGTGAAAAAGAGAATTTATAATGCCTTTCAGAAAATTTTCCATTAATACTTCCATAACTATAGAGTTTAGGGTTCAATAAAATTATGCATTTAAAATTAAATATGCAAGGTTGATATTGAGAATGAATAGAAGAGGACACAGTTTAGAATTCACATGAAAAAGTATCTTCATGTGTTACTCATTTAAGAAAATAGAATATTAGATATATATATTTTAAAGTAAGAATGCTAATGTAAACTACACAGAGAACTAAATTGAATGGGACAAAGATATATGAGTATGGTGTAAATACCTATAGAAAGAATCTGAGAAAACAAATAAAGCTTGGCTCTAGTTTATTAATAAATCTACTAAGCTTCTGTTAAAAACTCTGCAATTCATTAACCTCAATTTTCTCAATTTTTTCATCTATTTGATTATTTGTTTTACAATGTTATTATTGGTGCTCAATTTAAAATATCCATTAAGAATATCTTATTCAAATGAGGAGAAACATACCAAATAAAAGCACATTTTAGAATTTTGATAAAGACAATATAAAATCATTGAAGAGATAACATTTTCTATGTCCCCCAGAATAAACCAGACCAATCCATTTTTACCATAAGTCAGTATCTATGATTGTTCAAAAGGCATAATTGCCCTGCTCATTCCAAAACATTATATATAATCTCAGTATCTTTAATCTTTTGAAATTCTATCAGAAGTGGTTCCAAGTGTAATCTGAATCTTTTATTATTTCAAAGGCAAATGCCAAAGAAAATGATCATTTCAAAGCAGTAAACATGCTATTCTGGTTATAAAATTTAAATAATTGTTAGTTTTTATATTTCTTTTATAAATTTTAAAATTTATTTTTAATATACAAATAATAACTATTTATATTTGTAAGATATGATATATTTTGATCTATTATGTATTATAGAAATATTAAATTAAGCTAATTAACATATCTATCACCTCAGTAACTTTTTTTTTGTGGTGAGAACCTTAAAAATCTATCCTTTTAGCAATTTTGAACCATACAGTACTTTAGTATTAACTGTGGTCACCATGCAGTGTAATATATCACCAAAACTTACTCCCCTGGTCTAACTGAAACTTTATTCCCTTCGATCAACATCTTCCCTCCTGTCATCCCTTCCCCTATTCCCAAGCCTCTGGTAACAACCTTTCTTCTCTCCTATGAGATCAACTTTTTAAGATTCCATGTATAAGTGAGATCATACAGTATCTGTCTTTGAGGGAAAAAGTCATGAATTAGATATTATTAAAATTACCCTATTCAGATCTAGTACAAGAGTAAAGTTATTTAAGCAGCCACCTAGGTAGGCCCATCTTTTTATTGGACAGAGAAGAAAATCATTTCAACTTATTAGTTTTCCCTAAATTAATTTCTGACTTCACAGAGTTGTAAAATGCTGTGCCTTAGTCAAGAATGATAGTGATGAAACAAGGGATACCCTACCCCAGAGGTCATGCAGCTGTATCTAAATCCAAGTTTGGATAATTGTTCTTATCCATGTTAAATCTAAAGTTCAAAGCTAAAATTAACAAGTCGCTGAATAATTTGTTTCCTGTCCACTCTCTGACTACATTTCATGTCACTCTCTCATTTACCAAGCTCAAGTCACAGTAGCCAATTTTTTTGTTGTTGTTCTTTGAAAATAACAAACTCATTCCTACTCAGTGTCTTTTCCCATACTTTCCCCTCAGATTCCCTCACTGTGTCTGCTCAAATGCTACTTTCTCAGGTAATCCATCTCTCACCACCCAATCCAAAGTAACCTTACCCTTCACCCTTACTCCCTATTGTCATTCTGAAGCTATTACTTTATTTTCTTCATAGTAGTAATTGTGACCTGAAATTATCATATTTATGTGTTTAATGTCTGTCCTGCAACTCTAGGATATAAACTCCATGAGGGCAAGCACCTTGTCTGTCCTACTCATTACTAACTATATCCTCAGCACTTGCTATGTTCCCAGCACGAATAGGATTGCCTGGCCTTTAGCAGGTGATCAATATATAAACAAATGTAAATAAGAAATGTGCAAATAATCTTTATAATAATAAAAAAATGAAAACAGAATTTTCTCCATAATAGTCATACACAAAATAACTAAGAAAATATTAAAATAAAGCTTAGTATAGCATAGCACTTAACCTCATAGGATTATTGGCAGATTAAATGAGACGATACTAGCAAATGATTTAGCACAAGGCCTGGCAGCCTGGCATATAGAAGGTGCTCAACAAAGGTTCTTATCATGATTAATTATTATTTCTCCACCAAAGTGTATGTAAAGGCATCATTAAGGCATTGGGATTGATAAATTTTAACATATGCAAAATATATTAATACACTTTATTATGCATATTAATACACTTTATTATGCATAAGAAATTATCAGGAAGAAAATCCACAGAGTTTTAAAATATTCATAATTTATGGTAAAGTTTCATATTTGCAAAAATGTTATAGTATATCAAAGTTAAGTTCATCTCAGTAACTTAAAAAGTTTTGGCATATTTACCAATGTTCAGGAGAGTTAAACTATTGTTACATGACCTCCTCAAAATAAGCTTACTAAAGTATCCATGACACAATTTTTATCTTGCAATTTAAAATCATGAATATCTTTGAACATCACTTAATAATTATTTATTATATTGAATGATAAAAGAGTCTTATAAAAATAACTTGTCCCAAAGATAAAATTATAAATCAAATACAGGAAATGGATCAAAAGAGAAATCTCCAACTTTATTTTTACAAAGTGCTTACAAGGTGCTTAAAGTTGCATTTTAAATCTTGAAGAACACTATTTATATTGCTAATGTAGACATGTTATACAGCTTAAAAGGGAACCAAAATATATATGTATGAGTTACAGATAATTAAGCCCCATAGGATAAAGCTGTATTTAGGTGATTACATAGATTGTAATATCAAGTAAAAACTTTTTTTGAAAATCCATTTCTATTTCAAGTCATGTAAGTTGCTCAGTGAAATCTTAAAAGGTATAATAAAATTAAAATATTTTCCTGGAAATGCATTTTATTTAAATATTACTTTAAGTGATTAATTGCTATTCTCAGTAAATAAGATGTTCCCAGAAATTTGTGTTGTCAAAGTAATTTATCTTACAACATGGATAGCAATGAAGTGCTGATGGTCCTTGATATATGAGGCCAACTTCTACTTGGTTCAGATATAGCTCGAATGAAATTCCATTTAGAAGTGTAACTTTAGATTTTTTCAGCAGTTTACAGAAGGAGAGAAAGAATACATTGCTATACATTTCTCTAACTCATCATAAATACTGCTGGTATTTCTATATTAAAGGTTTCATGACACTTGGTGAGAATCTAAATCTAGTTACTGTGTTACATGTATAGTTACTAGTTGATTACTAGTACTGTTGACTAGTACTGTCAGTCAACATAGACAATCTCTGACTCTATGTTGCATTGCTTTTGGCACACTCTTATTTGGAGAAAGGCTTAGCTTCACATGGCTTTTGCAACTGATCTTCCTCTGTAAATTGTGATCACTATATGTTTGGGAACACAGAGGGGGGGTTACAGCTAATTAGAGATTAAGGGGTGCTTTGCATTAGCAAATTATTAGATTCTGTAAGCAGAGAATCATAGATATGAAACACATTTAGAGAAAATATAAGTTTATTTCCTGAAGAGATGGGAGGTCAAGCCACTAATCCAGGATCGTACAACTTGTTTCTGGCAGAACCTATGAGGACCAGAATCCAAGCATTCTGGCTCCAATGTGAGTGCTTGCTGTTTCCACTATACTCTGTTACTTCAGATATTAACAGATATCACAGATAACTGTGTGAGGAATTGTAGTTTTGTATGATTCAGGCTGGGGCCCAAAAAGTAAATCAAGATATTTTAATTTATGCCATTCACTCCCCCAGAATGTTTTGACAATGCAAAATAAAATGCGTGTCTACACAAAAGTATTACAAACAAGCATGAGGGAACCTGCACATTGTAAACCTGCATGTTCTTCTCCCGTGTTACTATACCCAGGAACTGAAAGAATGTCCAGCACATGTTTGACACCTTCCAAATATTTGTTGCATAAACAAATACATGAAATTTAAAACAATGGGCTGGGCATGGTGGCTCACGCCTGTAATCCTAGCACTCTGAGAGGCCGAGGCGGGCAGATTGCTCAAGGTCAGAAGTTCGAAACCAGTCTGGGCAAGAGCGAGACCCCGTCTCTACTATAAATAGAAATTAATTGGCCAACTAATGTATATAGAAAAAATTAGACAGGTATGGTGCTACATGCCTGTAGTCCCAACTACTCGGGAAGCTGAGGCAGCAGGATTATTTGAGTCCAGGAGTTTGAGGTTGCTGTGAGCTAGGCTGATGCCATGGCACTCACTCTAGCCTGAGCAACAAAGCAAGACTCTGTCTCAAAAAAAAACCTTAATGAACTCATAGGATAACCTCCAATGCTAGCTTTCAATTCAGTTCTAATGTATGAGTTTAGGAATTCTGAATAACTAATCTTTATGGCAGCCAATTTTTCTTAAGTATATCAACAATGTCTAATGACGTCTTTAAAAGTTCTTCTTCTCTTCCAAATTTAATAAAAGCTAATGCGAGGAATAAATATATCCTTCCTCATTAGTGATTTGAGTAGACATTTCTTTATTGTTGTCAAAATAACTCAAATATTTCATTATTCTTCTTTTAACTATAAGAATGACTCTCTGGAATTTTACACAAAGCCTACAGACTAGTAAAATAAAATGGTAAAAATAGAAAACATTAGACAATATTAATTTACTGAGAAAATATATATTTTAGTACCAGAGTTTTAATGTTGTTATTTGGTTTTTTGTTGGCATTAATTTATCTGGTACTCACTCAAAGGACTAACTGCATACCCACACACCAGCATGACCTGACATTTTATGGCAATCAAATAAAAGTATCTCCTGGACTTCTATAAAAACAAATAACTAATCTAGCTCCAAGGGACAATTCACTTTTGTCTGCCTTTACTGCAGTTTCAAAGAAAGACTCTGAAACTGTAAAAGCCTAACACAGGTCAAAGAGAAGGGGAGAGCTGGGGAGTATACACAAAAGTAAGATAGAAAACAAAGCAAAAGAGAAAAAGAAGGTGAAAAAAAATCTCACAGAAACCCCCTGAGGGAAGTAACTCACACCAAACCTCCTTCTATCCAGCTTCCTGCATTCCCTGTTGAGTACATACAAACGTGTGCACACACAAACATGCACACCGAAACCAAATAAAACAACAAAAAATTAGAGCTCAAACCAGAAACTAGCATGTGAGGTAATTTTATGAATGTGATCTCATTCATTTGTTTATTTCAAAAATATGTATAAAGGATTTAAAAGTGTCAGGCTTTTTGCTAGGTGCTTAGGACATGAATTTGGCTTTATCCTTCTCTCAAATAACTCACAGTCAAGTAGAATAAACCAACCATTTATAGCAGAGTGGTAAAACTAGTCAAAGAGAAATGTATAGAGCTCTGTGGGGGGCGGAGAGAGGGAGCCAATTTATTCAGAGCTGGAGAAGGACAGGGAGAAGATTAATACAATGGGTTTTCCAGAAGATACTATTAATAAAATCCAGTTTCTGTTGGAGTGGCCATTAGCTGGTGTAAATGCAAGAGACAGTGGGAAAAGCATGTTGGAAATGGTCTGAAGAAAGAAACAGAATGATATTTTTGGAAATTGCAAATACTTAGTATAGCATAGCTGATAACAAATTACACAGACTTTTTTTTCAGTATTTGATCATTTTATTCACAAAATATAAGCAAGACTTACATCCCTTTCTAGTGAAACTGTTCTCTTCAAATAATTTTATGTGGAGGACCATGAGATGTATCAATTATAAAACATGTTACAAAGAAAACATTTTTAAAATTTATAAATACAAACTAGTACTTTTTACAAGAATTCTCTATAAAGTTCACCAATCAATGTAAAAAATAATCTGTTTCAACTTAATATAAGGCATGTCCAGTTTATGTCATTTTGTAGAATTACTTTTGCTTTGCTGGGGACTTTTCCCTTTGGCAGTCCTGATTTTTCTTTGATTCTCTGGGTTGTTCAGAGTATCAGCTAGATTTTTCCCATTGCCTCTCAGCACCATTCTGATACCTATCCTCATCGCTTCTAGAGCCTGAATGTTTTCTATTTTTTTCCTTTGACTTTGATCTATCTTTTCTTCTAAAATTGTCACTGTCCTTATTTCGGTGTCTGTGCCTCTCATTCTCAGAAAAAGAATTTCTCCTCTCTCCTTGCTTCTTTTTAGGATCACCATGCTTATTTTCCAAATCTATGTGCATTTCTTGGTCTCTGTCATTCAGGACTCTGCTGTAATTATTTCATTCAGGAGGAACATCTCTGTCAGACATGTATTTCCTTATGGGATCTCTCCAATTTGGATCTCTTGAATTTTGATCTCTGTGTTTTTCTGACCTCCTTTCTCTTTCAGTCCTTGTTTCCTGGTGCCTTTGTTCTAGTCTTCTTTCTTCGTGTTTCCTATCATTTTTGTGTTGGCTCCTGATCAATTTATCTACTTCTTTACTTCTGGTCTTCCTTTGTCCCTTCTTTCTTGTTTCTTTAGCTGGGGCAGAGCTGTGACTGCTGGCAGATGAAGACCTGCTCTCTTCACTGGACGACTCTGAACTGCTGTTGCTGCTGTCAGCATCAGAGTCAGAGGAGTCAGACTCTGAAGAGGAGGATGCTGAAGAGGAAGATGGGGAGGATTTATTTTGCTCGACATCTGGTTTCTGTGCCAAGATGACCTTTGGTGTATTTTTGAGATGCTCACGCAATTCATCCATTAAACCCCCAAGACCTATAGAAGTAAAGAAGTTGATGGCAAACCGAGTGTTTCTTGGATTATCTTGGGGTAATAATCCCTCAAAGAATGGCTATAGGGTTTCATCCTTTAATCTTGCATTAAGTTTAGGGAGACCTATGTATTCACATAGTTCCTGGAAAAATATTTTGACAAAAATTCTACTAGATGATGTGGTGAATTCTTCACTCAGTTTTATACATTCAAGAACACTCCATGGAAGTGAATCAGTGTATAAAAGGTGAGCAAACATCTTACCAACATTTCTCAATTTGTTTGTTTCCAAGCGATGGATGGTATCATATTGTTCTTTGAATATACTTTCAAAAGATTCCATGTATTCTTTTTTTTGGCATGCAAAATCTCCCAGCTAATAAGCCAAAACATTTCTCGTATGCTCTCTGTTGGGCACAGCAATCAAGTATCATGTTGCAGAGTTCTTTTGTTTGACTTTCAGGGAACTCCATTTTCAGCAATTTGTGAGCACATTCTTCAAAACCTAAACTTGACTGAATAGCAAGGTAAATTGTATGATGAAATGAGATCAGATTAATTTCTGTTTTGTCATGGAAAGTCACTTTTTGTCCTTCTTCATCTTCTTCTCCTTCTTCCTCCTCCTCTTCTTCCTCCTCCTCCTCACTACCTCCAGCTTCTTGGTCTGTGTTTGAGTCACTGTCTCCTTCATCAAGAATTTCTTTCTTAATGGTTTTGTACTTTTCTTCATTCTCCATAAAATTTGGATCCATCCTGAAAACATTAAGAACATCTTCTGGATTATAGTCATCCTCTAAAGGGAGCATATGGGTGAACTGATCATCTTCTTCCACTAAGTCATTTCCTTCTAGAATAATAGGGTGGTCCTTGAATCCAGCCTTCCGTACAGCAAACATTACTTCAATCATATATTGAACTCTTTTGTCAATTTCAGACTCCTGGAATAGCATTGATTCCTCTTGGTGACACTTGTGTTAATTTGAGGCCACATTCCTTGAGAAAATCAATAGCTACTTCAACACTATCATCTGTTGGTCTTTCCAGGAGCAAAGTGAGCATCTCTAGGCATAAAACCTCATGTGCCGCATTTTGGTTAATAAGATGTGCCACAAATTTTGAAGCAGTCAGACAAAGTTGCTTATCATTTCTTCGATAGCCTTTTTGAAAATTAAGAATTAACCTCTTCAGAATTGATTCGCCAATTTGTGGAAATTTTGAGTTGTTAATTGCCACTAATGCTGCATAAACATGGGTGAAGATTGGAGAAGCACTCTGTGCTTGCAAAACAGATCTAGACAGCAGTCCTCTTCCTTTAACTATATTTTCTTGAAGAAGCTCTTGAATAATAATACTTATATTAGAAATGTTGACTTTGTTGATAAGACCATTGATTGACTTATTTAGGGCCTCCCAGCTCATTCTCTGGCATGCTAAGCTGTTTTTATCTGTAATCTGTTCTTGCATCATCCTGTGCTTTGCAGGAGGAATGTATGCTCCACCAGTGTAAGTAAGGAGAGGATCCAGCTCATCTTTCTTCTTCTTTGCAGTAGGTTCATCCTGAGAAGAGGAACTCTGGGTTACTGATGGTTCTGCGCTTCTTATCCCAGGAGATGGAGATTTCCAGGACCTTTTCTGATCCACATCTCTTTCTTTCTCTTTCTCTGCATTTTTCTTGGTCCCTACTTCGGGACTCCATGCTACCATCGTAAGAATGTCCTCTTCTTGAACGTTCATAGTCTGACCTGTTATAATCAAAATAATCTCTATCCCATGGAGATCTTTCTTGTTCTGCATATCTGTCTTCTGGAGAGGAGGTTCTCTGATATGAATTATAGTTTTCCCTTCTGTCATGGCCAGAATGTTTTATCTGTGCCACGTTACTTTTCATTTTCTGTTGCAGTTGATAAATAAATCAAAGATTCCTCAAATTGGTTCAAATAGCAAGTACTCAATGGTCTGAATTCCTTGACAGTTTACTTTTTCTGTCTGCAAATGTCACCTGGAGCCCCACCACACTGCCATTACACTGGAAGTACCTACAGAGACTTATTTAATTGTAGATTATATTACACAGATGAGGCTAGAAGTAAGCAGAACTCAAATAAGAAGAATCCTGTCTACTACCTTGAAATGTTTGGGTCATTATAGTAAGTAGGAACCATTCAAAGATCTAAAGTAGTAGAGCATTTACAGTGATCATTCCAAAAGCAGTTTTAGAAAGGATTGAAGGAGACTGAGTCACGAGACAAAAAGAAACATTGTCCTGCTTGGTTCGAAGAATTGCTCTGTAGCATTCAGCTTATCTTTGTGATGTAAGCATAATTTGCTTTCTTAAAAAGTAATCATCTGTCACATTAAATTAATTTTGTCAATTTGCTTCTTATTGGCTTTATAATTTTGTTTGTATTTAATGTGTAAATTATATTTAGTTTTATGTTTCCAAACTGATTCCCATTCAGTGCTTCATATTATAGCTAAAGGTTCAAGATTAATTATACCTAAAAACCTTAAATTTATTTAGAAATGTTTTATAGCAATATAATTCAAATCAATCTAACACCATAATTATAAGTGTTCAGAGATCACAGGATATGTTAGGTAGATTTTAATGAGAAAGAGAAGATACACGTGCCTTAGGAAGCCACTTTATGAGAAGTTAATCTCAATTAGAGTTTATAATATCTTCTATTACCAAAATAACCTACAATAATCAAACAATGCTCCTTAAATACACATGATCATCTACTATACTTCCATGCTTAGAATGCCAGGAGATACACCAAGCAATAGCTATGCCCTGGGAAATGCAGCACAGACCAATGTATTCTTAGTCCATGTAGAACCAGTTGAATCTCAGAATGAAAGACACACACATATATATATATATATATAGATTCTATATATATAGTCATATACATGACTGTGATACATAATGTTTCAGTTAATGATGGACCACATATACAACAGTGGTTCCATAAGACTATAATACTGTATTTTTGCTCTATCTGTTCTATGTTTCTATGTTTAGATGTATTTAGATACACAAATGTTTCCCACTGTGTTACAGTTACCTACAGTATTTGGTATAGTAATGTGCTATACAGGTTTGCAATAGGCTATGCCATATAGCCTAGGTGTGTAGTAAGCGATACCATCTGGGTTTGTGTAAGTACGTACACTCTGTGATGTTCACATAACTTTGAAATGGCCTAATGATGCATTTCTCAAAACATATCCCTGTCTTTAAGTGAGATGTGTCTGTATATATGTAAATATATATACATTTCATTTAAAAACATTATTAAATATCTTTTTATTGTGGTTTCAAAAACTACTGGCTTAAGGTAACATTTAAAAAAGAGGAACCACCTGTGTACTAATAAATGTCTCTGACTATGGCAGAATTGATTCGTCCATAATTCAAAGCAAAACTTTCTATTTCTTTCATTATATGTGTATAAAATTATAATACTGGCACACTGGAGTAAACAGATGTGGCTGCTTATGGCTAAAAGTGACAGCCCAGGATTTCTGGCATCCTCATCCCCAAATGGATTCCTCAGGGCTAAGAAATCAGTAACTTCTATAAATATGTACCCATTTTGACCTACTGGTGTGTCCTTGCATTCCAGTTAGGGAGCTTTAGTTTAAAGAAGACTCATGAGCTGGGAAAGAAGGCCATGCCAGAAAGCTGTTGACATTAGGAAGGTTCAACTTGCTGCAAAGAAACTGATTGGCTCATCTATGTTTTAAGTTAATAAAATTGCTCATGCCTCTAGCAGATGAGTCAAGCACTGAAAGGGCAATAACTTTCAATTCCAATGCCGACTGCTTGATTGATAATGGCTGCTTAGAGAGTTTTGTTGAGAAATCATTCTAAGGCTTTCTCCAGGCCCAGTCAGAAATAATGCTGGATTGATTAATGACATTTATCATGGGTGCAGTAGGAAGGAATGACATTATTAACTGACCCAGACCATAAGGTTGATTGTACAACATAAAATATATACTCTGCAACCCTTTCTTTAAAAGTATTTTATGAATTGAACTTCAAGCTTTATATCCTAGGTTTGTTGCACTGTTTTTGGTTATAAATAATTTCTCTGACATACCTACCATAATCCTTTGTTGTAGTTCTTTTTGTCTGTGTAGGTGCTTTCTGTGTAGGTCCTTATTTTTATTGTTTTATATATTCTTATTGATCAAGTAATCTCTAGCTTATTTTATTTCCATTTATCTTTTACTTTTAAATATATATTAAGAAACAGCCTCAAAAGAGGACATGGATAAACACAGCCCTGGTCGTAGAGGAAGCTGGAAATGTTCACTTTTCCTGCAAGCTCTGCATAGGAGTTTCTGCAGCACAAAAGGATCACAAGGCCAGTGCTGATTTAACCCTTGATCCTATGTTCCTCACCTCAGAAAGACTGACGGTAATACCTTAAAAATCACTATTTCTGTGACTTAGGAGAAAACAGATCAAATTATACGAGGATGAAATATAGCCAAGCACATTGGGGGAAGAATGCAGATTAATTGTTTTATCCTCTTTTCTAAGTTTGCCTACGTATTCCTCTTTTAAACATTTATTTAATGCTCTGTTGAGTCCTTTTTCATGCAGAGAATGAGGACGATATTTCATTTGCTTGAAAACATGAAAAATCAGCCCTTTATCTTTCTCTCAACATGTTTGATATCTAGAACATATCAATAAACACCTTTTCTTTAGAGATTCATCGGGTTTAATGAGCAGTACTGGAAAGAGCTGGATTGAACAGTACAAAAGATGGATTCACCAATAGGAAAATGAGACAACATAGTCAACTGATAGAAACAGAAATGTAAATGGCTAATAAATTTAAATATTCAACCTTGCTAGTCATCAAAGAAATGGAAATTAAAATGAAACACCTTTGGAAATGTTGACAATAAAGTGATGATGTAATTCAGAGAAACAGGCATCTCCTCCAGAGGTATAATCTTCCCAGTATGTATCAATACCTTTAAGTGTCATATATAGTAATTTGACTCAGCAATTCATTTTCTAAAAAGGTATCCTAAGAACACTTTCTCAAAATCCTTGCTTATAATTTTTCTAGTGGTCTCTCTAAGAGTAACTTAGCCCTATGGCAGGTAATAGAGTTGGAAAACAATATAATGTGAATGATAGGCTGCTTGTTGGTACTGACTAATTGAGGAGGGAAACTGGGAGATGGTGGAGGAGGGGAGGAATGAGTGCTTAGAAACGATAGAAACAATAAATATAGCAGGAGTATCAAGAACTAAGAATGAAAGTCTGCTGGACGTCAGCTTCAAGTCCTGCTAAGGGTCAGAGATGGGACTGTCTTTTTTAGTTTCTTCTGTGTCTCTAATTAATTAGTGTCTTTCTCTTTTTCCATCACCAGGAACTCTAACTTGCATGTATGTGTCTGCTGCACAGAGGAGTCATCCTCGGCTCTGTCAACGTTGCTGCTAAGAAAGCATCATGATTACACACCTCCCTCCACCCAAATGGAACAGGCCTTCTCACTGAAATAATTAACAAGACAAAGCCATAGTTTTGTTTGTTTGTTTGTTTTTGCAGGGATAGTACTTTAAGGAAGATCCAATTCAAACTTAAATTGTGTAAATGAAGAAACAAGACTAAAAAGGTAAACTGGCTTTACTGTGTTGTTAATAACATGGCAGGAATTACAACCTGGGTGTTTGGGGAAACTCTTACCCCAATCCCCCTGTAAAGAAAAAAAAAGGCCCCTAACTTTCACCATAAATTAATGCATTTCCCCTTTCTCATGGGTTGTGGGACTGTAAATAGTAAATTGTGAGCTGTTGTCCATTATACTTACATAAGTCACATGAAGATACATATGTATCTGACCTAGAAACTTAAAGTACACATATTACAATAAATGAAACATGATGCACCCACAAAATTCTCCTGAGAATCTCTCTGTTCAGGAATTATTCTTGCTGCATGTTTTAATGTTGTTAGAGAATGTGGAGAGACTTACCAGCCCACTGAATCTACTTTCAACAAGGTAACAGAATCATGACTGGATGTCACTACTGCTCAGCCTTTCTGTCCCTAGGGGAAATCAATGGGATCAGAAACACACACTCACCCAATGAAGCTCTGACCCTGTTGTGCCTTCCAGGTTTGGCTATGGGTTGCAAGCAAATTTTTACCCTTCTCCCCTACATACTACCTCAAAAGAAAAGAAAGAATTTAGAACTGTTTTAAAATGATGGGAGGTGAGGAAGCTAAAAGTATTTCACCAACAGAAGGTTGAAACTAAGATGAGCAATGAATACAGTTTAGCACTGTCTTGGATAAAGAATAAATAATACAGAGTACCCATTTACTCTTTGTGACTCAAAACTTACATGTCAGTGCCTATTATAATGATTCAAAACTAGATCTTTCTCCCTGGATATTTACAACCTGTTTGGGTCAATGAGTTCAGATGAACAATTGAAAGTACAGTTAATTTATAGGAAGTCCATATGTTACTTGGGAATTGTTTTTCTGAATTTTGAGGAGTCCACTATGATATTTCCATGTCCAGGTTTAACCTCAGTACCATCACAGCTGCTCATCAAGTCTACTGCATCCCTTTCGATTCTTGCAATGCACAGAAACACTCATGTGAATACTTCAAAGTTCAAGGAGGTAAGAAAGACAAGGTTCTAAGTCAGGAGTGGCTCTAATACAATGAAAATTCTCAAGTGGACTAAATAGATATTTGGGTTTTTATTTTTTTCCATGCAGTGGCAACTGCACTATTAATATAAAAATGCCATTGGGTAGCAAGGCATTACAATATTAATATGTATACTTTTAAATGTAAGACAGGTCTCAAATGTAGTTAGTAAAAGTAATTATAGACCTAGATTTCTAGCTTTTCTAGTGCATGGAGACAGTTCCTTTGTAATGTACTAAGTTTGGGACTTAGTGCAAGGAAAAAAATGTATTTGGTTATATGTGCTTCAATCTACCTGGTCTAATCACTGTAGGTCCCAATGGAAGTTCAAAGCAGAGAAGCATTAGCCAGAAGAAAAGAATGTAATAAAAGATTAGTGATGTATCCACCAGAAAAGAATATAATAAAAGATTAGTGATGTATCCACCACAACAAAGAGAAGACTCGGAATTTATGTGTGTCTTTGTGTGTATTTTTTATGTACCTAACATTATTTATCAAATATTGATATTAAAATCTTAGAATTTTGTGGAAAAATTATAATATCTAAGAGATATCAATCCATTAAAAGAGTAAGAAATCAGATATAGAAATATTTGCTATATTATAATTTTACATATGATATTATGAAGTATAATTTGGTATACAGAAAGCAATTGTATCAAACCAATACTTTTTAAAAAATTACTATAGAATATTTAGTTCAGGTGTTTTTTTCTTATTTGCCTGTAGCCCAAAAAGGTGAACTTCCAAAATGAAAGTGTGCCCTAACTCCTTATTGGGGTGTTAAGGGTTAAAAAAGTGAACCCCAGTCATCCAATTTTTTAAAGGCATGGGACTTGGTGGTTTTCCTTCCTTCTCAGAAGAGGATTCCTGCAGGTGACATAGAGAGAAGCATATATCAAAAGAAAAGCCAATTGTTCAAGGAACAGTTTAATAGTTCTTAAGTTGAAGATGCTGATCTCAGTCTAAGGTCATAGCAGGCTGAAATTCATAAAGTCAAGACAAATCAATATGACAAATATGTATTTATCTCCTATTATGTATCAGGTAATAGGCTGGCCCTGTTGGAAACAAAGGGTGGTTATAGGTTATAGATTCAGTTGTTAAATATTTGTATTATTGAACTATGACTAGGCCTCTCCATCTACCTGAGCTTTATTAAGAATCCTCAAAGACGTTAAGGTTTACAGGATAGAGAATAGAAAATCTTACAAAGATTTTAAAAACATTTTTAGAATATACTTGCCAAAAGCTAAAAAAAAAACTTAAAAATATAGTTTTTACCAAAATTATGCAATCTCATAATAATCATATTGCCAACATTTATTGAGAGTTTACTATGTGCTACATAATGGGCTAAATGTTTCATATGATTTATCTCATTTAATCCCCACATTAAGCCTATGAGTAAAGTAATATTAAAAATATATTATTGTACTTAAAATACGTATCATGGAGAAGATTTTTCAGTCAATAATGAATGGATAAATCATTCTCATTTTTAAAAGGAGAAATGTGACTTAGTGGTCTTTCCTGGTCAAAGTCACCCAGCTAGCAATGGTTCAAGCCTTGATATAGTGTGGTAAACAACAGGTAGAAACACACACATATTCACATAGGAGTACAGAGAAAGGATCCTTAACTTTGCTTGACTAGGGAAGAAGAGGAGATTATAAAGAGGATGAAACTACATATTACCTCTTCCCAAATAAGGGCTGCCTTCTACTTCTCAGAGAGCACTTCCACAATAATTTGCATTTATCACACTGTGCTCTGATAGTCTGTTGACATAGTTTCTTCCCTAATTGTGAATCCCCTGAAGGCAATAATATGTCTTTGTCCATCTTTATCTTTCCAGTGCCTTGGATCACATCTTGTATAGTATAGGTATTGAATAAAAGTTTGTTGACTGAATAAATGACCAGAGAGAGCATGCTCTTGATTAACTAATAGATCAAATCTACACCGAAAGATAGCCTCCTAGTCTTGTTAGTATTTTCTAACACTTTACTGAAAATAAACTCCTTTGTATGAAGATCATGACTTACAACATTATTGTGTTTTATCCTGGATGCACAAGGTGGTAAGAAAATTAATCTTTTATATTATATATGATTACCTAGGAAGATGGTTATGGAATGAAAAATATTTGTCACATATATGGGTTTTATTTTATGATTTAATGACAAGATTCTATTGCTATTCATCAGCTAATAAAATTTACCCATCTATGCACAGTGAGTTGTTTATTGAATACAGCAAGATTGATTTTAGCTGTTTGGGCAGGTGAAAATTAAAACCACGCTTGCTTTGTTCCAGTGCTTGGTAGTATGCAAAGTAACAAAGGAACTAGAAAAGGAACTAGAATAGAATCAGTTGATATACTTCTTAAGAGTCAATGGTCAAGAATTGGTTCATACTGCCATTGCACTGCTCATAAAATATAGAATAATACAGAGAAGTTTAGCATGATACTGTCAGCTGTTACTATTGTAGTGATTTATGATATTTGAAACAGTGGCTTGTCTTTGTCAGAGATGGATTTAGCTGTGGTTATTATCTTATATAAGCAAAAATGAAATCAGCAATTTATACTTAATAAGATTAAGTGGAAGTAGCAACTAAAGTTGTTCCTTGATCATCACTGAATTAACATCCCAGCCATGTGGCCATCTTGAAATTTTAACTTGCAGTGATGGATCAGTTTCCTAGAGACTCAGGACTATTGTTGGGATCTCGTAATTTCTAAAGGGACATATACTTAATGCCTCATCTTCTCTTTCCATTAGTCTATTTCAATTTGTTAAAAGATAGCTACAGAGAAATCTGGCTGCCTTTGTCTACAGTATGGAATTCTGTGGAAATAAATAAATCTTCAGGGCTTGATGAAAAAGATGAATAACAGTAGTCCCCTTTATCCATAGTTTCTCTTTCCACAGTTTTACTTACCCATGATAAACTGCTATCCAAAAATATGAAAAATTTCAAAAATAAACAACTCATACGTTTTAAACCACGACCTTCTAAATAGCATAATGCAATATTGAGCAGTCCCACCCTGGTCTGCCCAGAATGTGAATCATCTCTTTCCCGCATATCTATACTGTATATACTATGTATCTGCCCATTAGTCACTTAGTTGCCATCTCAGTTATCAGATTGACTGTCAAGATATCCCAGTGCTTGTGTTCAAGTAAACCTTATTTTAATTAACAAAATAGCTCCAAAGTGTAAGAGTAGTGATGCCGACAACCATAACATGCTTTCTCTAAGTGAAAAGGTGAAAAGTTTTCAACATAATGACAAAAGAAAAAAACATCCTGTGCTGAGGTTGTTAATATCTATAATAAGAATGAATATTCTATCCATGAAATTGTAAAGAAGGAAAAAGAAATTTGTGCTAGTTTTGCTACTGCACCTCAAACTGGGAAAGTTACAGCTACAGTGCACATTATGTGCTTAGCTAAGATGGAAAAGGCTTTACATTTGCGGGTGGAATGCATGAACAGAAACATGTTCTGTCTGCAGTTGGGTTTGGTACTACCTGTGGTTTCAGGCATTCCCTGGGGGTCTTGGATATATCCCCTGTGGACAAGGGGAGACTACTATAGTACAATCAGGGTCTCAAGGCTATAGAAAACATTAGATAATACAACTGCCAGTTTAGAGACTTGTGTCTAAATCTGGTTTCTGTTCCTTAATATTTTGTGTAAAAAACAATGACTCTTGAGTTGATATCAGACTCATTTTTTAAAATTTATCTGTAGGTTTTTACTGCTACATAGTATTTGCACATATTTATGGGATACATGTGATGTTTTGTTATATGTATAGAATGTGTAATGATCAGCTCAGAGTATTTAGCATATTCATCACCTTGAGTACTTATCATTTCCATGTATTGGGAACATTTCAAGTCCTTTCTTCTATTTTGAGATATACAATTAACTATAGTCACCCTATTCTGCTATCCAATGTTAGAACTTATTCCTTCTATCTAATTATGTTTGTACCCATTAACCTACCTCTCTTCATCCTCCCACCTTCAGTGGTTTTGTTTGTTGTTTTGTAAAAAAATACTAATAGCTTTCAAAAAGAATCAAAGTGAAATTGATTTGTTAGAAATGCAAAGGAATATATACTATTTTTCCTTTTCCTCAGGAATAGCAAAGAACATATTGGCTGTCTGCTTCTTGGACATCTTTATAAATAGCTTTAGAAATTCTATCCTAATACATTGCCATGCAGATATATAAATTAAGGCACAGTATAAATGAGACAAATTGAGGGGAATTCTACAGAAGAATTAGCTTATATGCTTAAAAAATGTCAAGATCATGAAAGACTAAAAACATTTTTAAAAGGTTGACACTCTTCTCCAAAAAGGGGAATGGTAGGGTTAGAGAGATAACTATAAAATAATATTTTTAGGACAATTGTCAAAATTTGAGTATGGAGAGTGGGTTGGACAAGAGCATTATATTAATATTTAAATTTCCTGATTTTGATAATTTAACTATGGTTAAATAAAAAAATTCCCTTGTTCTTAGAAAATATACACTGAATTATTTAGGATAAAAATTTGGTATCTCCAATTTATTGTCAGATTATTGAGATAATTTACTTTCAAATAATTCAGAGAGAAAGTGTATCTGAGGAAGTACAGAGAGTGAGCACAAGATGATTAAATAAATTACAATCACCGAATGTTAATAATTGATAAATCTAAGCAAAGGGTATGCATTTCTGTATGATTCCTGCAATCCTCTTGTAAATTGAAAATATCTTTAAAAATTATTTTAAAAGGCAAATTTGTATAATAGTAGAATTAAAAATAACATTTTAAGGAAAATCATATTAAGGTAATTTGTATTTGTATATGAAGTGCTAATAAAGCTTCCAAACATGCTAATTTGACTTTATTCTTGAACCAACTCTAAGATTTTAAATGTCTTTATTCCCATTTTAAAGATGGAGAAACTTGGAAACTCCTGTCTTTCAGTTCAAAAGATTTTGATTTGTAGTCTTTTCTGAGGTAACTATACCACTGTGCAAATTGCCCTCATTTAGGTCACAAAGGCAAGCCTGTGGTTTGTCCTGTGCTCACTAACCAGCTGTCAAGCTGTAAGAATTTGGGTGGCTGAAGATCAGTAAGCAGCTCTATAATTTAGAATCAATCTTCCAAGCTGTCTCATCTCTATTTTCATAGCATGTTATCAGTTTTCATTCCAAAGTTGTGCTAGCTCTTCTTGGCATGATCGATGGTGCAGGTGCACAGTTTTAGGAAAGAAACAATAGGACACCCCATTGGTTTATGCTGCATTACAAATAGAAAAGAGAAAAAAAACAATATTAGACAAGTAGAATTGAGAAAATCATGTGGGAAATAAAATTTATTTTCATGCCTTCAGGAATTACATCAAAGAGTAGATATTTTATTTGAAAAGGTATAGGTGTTCTTTGGGGAAAGAAGGCAAGAAAGGGAGGAAGGTCTAGAAGTTCATATTTCCAGAATTCTTATGTCACTAGAATG